GCTTAATACGTGTTGTGCTATATGCTCAGAATGTAAAAATATATACAATGCTTAGGGTATATGAATTTTGGGGCACAAACCTGGACCATTGTTTTATAGCTACCTGCTGATAACTGCCCAGTTCTGGCAGGGCTTGACTCAATGGATCAATTTTGGGGAACATTTTATTCCACCTGTTTCAATCTCACAGCCATCCCATGGGGTGGGTTGATTCATATTGACATCCCATTGTACAAATTAGAAAATTCTTGCAGCAATAACCCAAAAAGGTCACATGGCCAGTAGACAACCCGACCAGGCTGTCTGGCTCAAGTCTGCGACCTTTTTTCATTCAGCAAAACTTTCCCAACCATTGTTCAGTGTAGGAAAGTTTTGCTGAATGAAAAAACCTGGAGTTTCTTAAAATCACCTTTCTTTTTAAAAATATATTTTATTGATTTTTTATAGATTTTTTTTTTTTTTTTTTTTTTTTTTTTTTTTTTACAGAGAGGAAGGGAGAGGGATAGAGAGCCAGAAACATCAATGAGAGAGACACATTGATCAACTGCCTCCTGCACACTCCCCACAGGCAAGCCCTTGACCGGAATCAAACCTGGAACCCTTGAGTCCGCCGGCCGACACTCTAGCCACTGAGCCAAACCAGTTAGGGCTTGAAAGCACCTTTGACTGGCCCCAAAGGCCAGGTTTTAAGTCCATACATCAGTCCATTGTGTTGCCACCCAGGCTGTTTGTTCAGAAAAACCCAAACAAGGTTAAATGGTTGCTCTCACCGAGTTCACCTCTACTCGCCGCTGGACCACATGGGCCTCAGTTTACAAAGAAGGAAGGGCCTGTGTATGTGGAAGAGGAGGCTGTGGCGGTCTCACTGGCCTGGCTCCAGGGCTCCAGAAAGAATTCTGAGTCCGCACACTAGTTTTCCTTCACCCAGGACTAGGAGCTGACTCAGGAACTCAGTTTTGCAATTTCCAGGGTTCCAGGCAGACAGGGAACAAGACTGGTCCCACTCCTCTTAAACTTTCTTTTGTTCAATAATATGCCTTTAAACAGTAACTCAGTGCCCTCTGTCTGCCAAATCTCATGGAAACAAAGAGAGGTAAAGCACCTTTGACTTCTGGGTGGGAAATGACAGTAGCACTGCCCAACAGAAAGATAAGCTACATATGAAATTCTCAATTTTCCGGTTGCCACATGGGGAAAAAAAAAAAAAAAATATATATATATATATATATATATATATATATATATATATATATATATATATCCCTAGCCATTTTTGCTCAGTGAATAGAACATTAGCCTGTAGACTGAAGGGTCCCGGGTTCAATTCTGGTCAAGGGCATCTACCGTGGTTGCAGGCTCCTCCCTAGCCTTAGTCTGGGCTCATGCAGCAGGCAACCAATCTCACATTGATGTTTCTCTGTCTTTCCCTCTCTCTTCCACTTTCCATAAAAATCAACGGGAAAATATCCTTGGGTGAGGATTAAGAAAAGGAAAAAAATTTCAAAGAAAAAGAATTAGGTGAACATAATATAATACTATATTTTATTTAACTCATTTTATATCTAAAATGCTATTGTTTTAACATGTAATCAATACAAAAATTATTGAGATATTCCTTTTTTTCACTTTGAAATCTGGTTTGTTTACACATAGAACAATTCCCCCCTTAGACTAGCCACCTTTCAGGTATTCAGTAGCCCTGTGAAACCAGTGGCTTCCTTATCAGATGGAGATTTATAGTCTGGTTAAGAAAATAACTTTTCTTTATCCTGAGCTTTCAAAAGAAAGGATTAAGGGATTTGGTGTTAGAGGTTGAGCCAATTCACATTGTTTCACAAGTGGTCACATGATCAGAAATGAGGTCCTTGCTTTTTTTTTTTTTTTAACTAATTTTCAGTTTTACAAAGAATGTATGAATTTTTTTTATTATAAAAAAAAAATGTTGAGCCCTGACGAGTTTAGCTCAGTGGATAGACCCATGGACTGAGGGTCCCAGGTTCACTTCAGTCAAGGGCAAGTATCTTAGTTGCAGGCTGATCCCCAGTAGGGGGCGTGCAGGAGGCAGCTGATTGGTGTTTCTCCCTCATGGGAGTTTCTAACTCTATCCCTTTCCCTTCCTCTCTGATAAAAATCAATAAAAATGTATTTTTCTTTTAAGTTGAGCAATAAAACAGATTACCCCTGAATCTTCCTCCAAACTACTCCACTCCCAGAAGTAAGTTTGGTTAGCTCTCAGTTGGCTATTTATCCTTATATGCATTTATACGGATATGTTTTATTTTCTTTATTTTCTTGTACATCAATATTATACAGTTTATATTGTTCTGAAACGAGGTTTTGTCACATAGTAATATTTCTTTATTTTTTAAAAAAATATATATTTTTTATTGATTTCAGAGAGAAAGGGTGAAGGAGAGAGAGACAGAAACATCAGTGATCAGAGAGAATCATTGATTGGCTGCCTCTTGCATGCCCCCGCGGAGGCCCCCCCCCCCCCCCCCCCCCCCCCCCCCGCACACACACACACTGGGGAATCAAGCCTGCAACTCAAGCATGTACCCTAACCGTGAATTAAACCGTGACCTCCTCGTTCATAGGTTGATGGTCAACCACTGAGCCACGCTGGTCAGGCCATAATGATATTTTTCTTTCTTTCTTTCTTTCTTTCTTTCTTTCTTTCTTTCTTTCTTTCTCTCTTTTCTTTTAAAAAATAATTGAGACAAAAGCTTGAAAGTCTTTTTTAAAAGTATATATATATATATATATTATTGATTTCAATATATATATATTATTGATTTCAAAGAAGAAGGGAGAGGGAGACAGAAACATCAATGATGAGAGAGAATCATTGATTGGCTGCCTCCTGCATGCCCCCTACTGGGGATGGAGCCTGCAACCCAGGCATGTGCCTTTGACTGGAATCAAACCCAGGACCCTTCAGTCCACAAGCCGATGCTCTACCCACTGAGCCAAGCCAGCTAGGGCCATCGTGATATTTCTTGATGCTCTTTTCATGTGTGTACATACAGTCACATCATTCTTTTTTAATCACTACACAATATTCCATAACCACTTCTCTGCTGAGGGACTGTGGAGCTGTTCTTCACTTATTTTTTCACTATTCCTAACAGTGCTATAACACGCATTCTTGCATTCAACTCTACATGTATTTGTGCAGGTGTTTTTCTGGAGTAGATAAAAACGAATGCATTTGCTGGGCCAAAGGGAATCTATCCTGTTTCTCTGAAAATAAGACAGTGTCTTATATTAATTTTTGCTCCCAAAGATGCGCTAGGTCTTATTTTCAGGGGATGTCTTATTTTTCCATGAAGAAGAATACGGTACACATTTATTGTTACATGAAAATAAAGGAAATGTATTACCTGTATACGGTACGGTAGTATGGTAGTTGTCAACACAAACCAGACAAACTGTGAATCCTACAGTATCAAGAATTTACTCATTTATTCAATGACAATCATGTCATCATCTTCTGGAACATCATCATAACAATCCAATTCCTGAATTTCCTTGTGAATTTCTTGTGACTCCATTTCTTTCAGAATCAGTGGACCAAATCTCTCATGTTTAGCCTAGGGGGGGCCTTATTTTCGGGGGATGCCTTATATTTCACTCAGAAGGAAACCTGTAAGTAGGTCTTATTTTCGGAGGATGTCTTATTTTCTGGGAAACACGATATATCTTAAGTTATGGTTACCATCAAGCTGCCCTCAAAAAAAAAAAAAAAAAATCCCAGTTCGCATTCACCTACAGTGTGAGGATGCTTGTTTACTCAGCCCCTAGGTCTTATTTTTATTGTAAGTAGGGATATTTGAAGTATGAGTCCTAAAACATTAATACAAAAGCAGTAGAAAGAAATTTTTAAAATTTTGTTCTACAACTAAGGGCGACGAGGAGACTCACAACCCTGCCCATAGTTAACATTAGGGATGGGGAAGAAAAGGGCCTGAATTTAAAATCAGGAGATTCTAAACTATTTTCGGTTACTCTTTGAAATCATATATGAATTGCTTAAGTGTTGCAATGAACATTTTTGCTATATCAAAATTTTTGCTATATCAAAATTGATGCCCAGGTTTCTGACTCCAGTGGTGGATGCTTGGTGACTCCTCACTGAGATGAGGAATCCAGAGACAGGTTTTTTTCTTCACCTGTCATCTTCCTCTGCTCTTTACTTTCTTCTTCAAGTGCTGTGGTCTGTTAATTCACTGGTACCAGGCTGCTAACATCTCAACCTTGATGACTCTGACGACCTGACTTTGCTATGCCCTCACTTGGGATGTGGGAGAGAATCCTGTAGTCAGAGTACTTCCTCATTCAGATATGCCCCTTGTCTTCCCACAGTGCTTACTATAATCTTTGTCGAATCAGAACCTCCTCCTCATCCTCGGCAGCCAACCTCCCTCCTAACTTATTGCCCCCAAAATAGATTGTACAGTTAAGAACTACCTCTCACCTATCCTGTAGCTGTCTGTTTCCTTGGCCAGCCTCCTCTTTTCCCCTCCCTGCTCAAGAAAGAGACCCTCTTTTTCCCCAAGGTAGGCCTCCCCTGTGTGTTTTAGTTCAAGTTTAGTTCTGTTCCTTAAGACCTTGTTTTAGCAATCAAGCTCTCCCTTTCAGGTGACACCCTCCTTTCTTGGCCCTTTCCTTCCCCATCCCTAATGTTAAATATGGGCAGGGTTGTGACTCTCCTCGCTGCCCTTAGTTGTAGAACAAAATTTTAAAAGTTGAAAGAATTTTGCAGTGCACAATCACATATGAATTACTTAAGTGTTGCAATGAACTCTGTTGCTTTGAGTTATAATTGTAATTTTCATCTCTGAGCCTCATGTTGTTTATTTTTAAATTACAATAAGCTCCCCTGCAATTCCCAAGTTCTGATTCATCTGCGCTCTTTCCTGTTTCCTCCTGTAGCTGTCACCATTCTTCTGGACGCCTTCCTTAACATAAAAACTACATTTCCCAGGAGCGCCCACGGGCGTCAACGTCGCGCAGCACTTCGTCGTAGTTCCGCGCTCTTTATACCCACTTCCGCCGGTGAGCTACTTCCTTTCTCTGCGGCAACGCACGGCGGCAAGATGGCGGTGCAAATTTCCAAGAAGAGGAAGGTGAGATTCTGGGCTTTGGGCCCTGGGGATTGCAGCGTCGTGGGGGTCAGGGTCTTTTCGAGGTGCCGTGGTGGGACCCGCAGCTCGTGCCTTGCCCCGGGAAGCGGCTTGGGCCGCGAGACATCCCCGCGGGCCGCGGATGGCGGTGGATTGAGTGCGGGGCCCGAGCCAGGCGAGCGCAGTGTGGCGGGGAAAGGGGGACGATTTCTGCCGGTTCCGGGCGGAGAGGAGAGATGAGCACTGGGCTGCTCTCCTCTCCCGGGAAAGGCGCTTGTGAGCCTTTCTTGGTCCACAAATGAAACTTAGCGAACGTGTGGAATTTTGTGAGAGTGGGAGCCGAGCCAGTCGCTTCAGATCTTCACACCGTGGCTTTGGGAAGGGGTGTCTTGCCTTCTTACTAGTCGTGTCTGGGTGCAGCCTTCTGACCCTAAAAACTTCAGCTGGACAGGCTGCTGGCAGTTTGCAGTGTTTCCCAAAGTGTGGTACGCGTACCCCCGGGGGTACGGGAAGAGTTTGGTGGGGGTACGCGTTGCACCGGAGTTTGGTGGGGATATGCACTGCACCGTGCTTAGCTGCGCCTAATTCTACGTTCTCATGAGTACGAGGGGTACTCAGCGTTACGAAAATTATAGAAGGGGTACACTTATGTCAAAAGTTTGGGAAACTGCAAGTAAAAGCAGTGGGCTAAGGGAGGGAGGGAACCTCGGAGGAACTATATATGTATGTTTGTATGTATGTGTATATACATATATCTCCACGTTAAAACGAAATCCACACGCTATTTTGAATTGCAAACGTGGCTGGGTTGCCTCTGACGGTACAAGCTGTCCCTGCAGTGCCCTGGGCGCTCAATCCCTCACTTGCGTGGGGTCCCAGGTGTGCTGAATGAATGAGTTGTAAACGTGCCATTTAGAGCAGTTTTTTGTTGGGCTTATGTCCGTGTAAAGGACGGTCTTGAAAACCCTTCTATGAAGAGACGATGACGAGTCTGACTGGAGGTGTTGTTGTCCAGGGGCCCCTACTCCATGCCGCGTTCTGCGGCGCAGTGTTAAGGGCCTGGGGTCAAAGGCACCACCGGGAGATGACCAAGAGGCATTTGTCTGAGAAGGGTTGTTGGGACAAGGCTCATACGATTGATGAGGGGGCCATTGGTTGGACGGGTTGAGTTTGGGCGAGGGTTGCATGGGCTGAAAGACCAGGCGGGGAAAGTGAACCTGTGCCCATGTCCTAACTTTGAATTTTACTTTTGAATTTTAGTTTGTTGCTGATGGCATCTTCAAAGCCGAACTAAACGAGTTTCTGACCCGGGAGCTGGCTGAAGATGGCTACTCCGGGGTTGAGGTCCGAGTTACACCAAACAGGACAGAAATTATTATTCTGGCCACCAGGTAAAAAACTCATTTATGTTGCATAGATTAAGATGGTTTGGTCTGGAAGCTTAAGGGGATAACCAGTAAGTTTGGCCTTAGGGAATGCAATCATTGGTTTTTGTGAACTGCGATTTTAAATCTAACTAGTTCCTGTCACCCACACTTTATACTTGCTTATGTCTGATGAATGAGGTTTTACTACTACAGTAGATTGCAAGATTTGAGGTTGCATGTGGAATTTTATGAGCCATGAATTGTCGCTTTTTGCGTTTCCCCAGGACACAGAATGTTCTTGGTGAGAAGGGCCGGCGCATCCGGGAATTGACTGCTGTGGTTCAGAAGAGGTTCGGCTTCCCTGAGGGCAGTGTAGAGGTGAGTGATCTGGCTTATTCCGTGGTTACTGTGGCTCTGGAAATGGCTCTTAGGGTGGTACTTCTAAAAACCCTTATCTCACTGAAGACTTGGTTTATTCATGATCACTGAATATTACAGATGGGTTGGTATTTTGTTGAAGTTCTCATAATAAGTAGTAAGCTTAATTTTGTAGGCCTGTTCTGCTCAATTCTGGTGGTTAAGGAATTTACATCCACCTTGATTGGTAATGATGCATATGATGGGTTGGGTGCCCCATCTGTCTCCTTGGTATGGCTGTAGGAAGAGCTAGGGATGAGAGGACAATGAGGAATGGTTTAGTTCCTGTCACTGAGCGTGTGCTAGGTGTGGGGAGTGGAAGTACTTTGGTACTAAGGGATGCTGTAGTGATATATATTGTTTGTTTCTTTCTTAAAGCTTTATGCTGAAAAGGTGGCCACAAGAGGTCTGTGTGCCATTGCCCAAGCGGAGTCTCTGCGTTACAAACTCCTGGGGGGCCTTGCTGTGCGGAGGTGAGTTTCCCCCTTTTATGGATCAGAATATGGTTTGTTTGCCATTTTGTTAATTCAGCAAATGAATTCTCTCATGGCAGGATATTTCTAATCCATGTCCTTGTTTTGTGTTTTTTGTTTTTTATATATATTTTTTATTGATCTGCTGCCTCCTGCATGCCTCCTGCTGGGGATCAAGCCTGAAACCCAGACATGGGCCCTTGACCAGAATAACTTGGAGTCCGAAGGCTGTCTGAGCCAAACCATCTAGGGCCCAATGTCCTTGTTGAACTGGCAGTATGGCAGGAAAGACTAATAAAGAAGCAAGTCTTTTTGTTTGTTTTTTAAATATATTTTTAAATTGATTTTAGAGAGGGGGAGAGGGAGATAGAAACATCAATGACGAGAGAGAATAATTGATTGCCATGCACACCACCCACTAGGCATCAGTCCAAAATCTAGGCAATATGCCATGACCAGGAATTGAATCGTGACCTCTGGTTCATGGGTTGATGTTCAACCACTGAGCCATGCTGGCTGGGCAATAAGTAGATTTTTAAAGGAGTGATGAGTGATACGGAGAACTGTTCTGAATGCCTGGAGAGTAAAACAAAAATAGAACTTGGAGGGAAGGTTAGGCTTCCTGTTGAAGTCATTCAGTTCCAGCATGAGTTAATTCTTCTGGGGTCCAGGAGATAAGACTGCAGATGGAGGAGAGCTTACAACCTAGTCATTTGTCTTTGTGAGCTGTACATGGATAGTACTGTGATGGACTGTAAAGGGCATGAGGTGATTGGGCTGGCCCTGCAGCCGAGCCCCAGGAAGTTTTCCAGCAGAGGAAGGACACAGGGTCTACGCTGCCTGCAGGTTGATGTTGGGATGGGTAGGAAAGGCTATAGGCAAGGACATGTAGAAGACCTCCCACCTGGTTTGAATGCCAGATCTACCACTTAAAAAGGGATTCTCAAAAGTTGGTCCCTGGGTCATCATCTGAGTACTCGTTTGAAAGAGTTCTGTCTCCACCTAGACCCACTGACTTGGGAAGTGGGAGTGTAGCCCAGCTATGCTGTCTTAACAAGCCTTCCAGGTGACTTTTGCATGCATTGAAGTTTGACTGGGAAGTGCTGAGACCAGAGCAACTTATTGAACTTCTCAGACCCTTGGGTCTTCTGTCTAAATGGGTATCATTGTACCACCACTTTTTTTGTGAAGATTAAATAAGATCATATGAAAGGGTCTGGGCCATGGTGGTTGGTCTTGCTCTTTACTACCTCCAATTATTATCTTCCCGGATGTAAACTAATAAGGTGGTGGGAGGGGGGCCTGCATGGTATTTTTTTAATACCATTCGCTGTCAATTATATAGACTTACATATGCTTTTCCAGTGTGCTGATAGTCAAGGCAGCTAGGATGCTAAACTGATAGGGTTTAGCATCCTATCAGTTCTGAATTCTGGAGGTTGAGGAATGTTTCAGTAAACCATTGGGGGGTCACTTAGTGATTGGGTACTTCTGGTTTCTTACTGATTGCTTGCCTTAGTTGGCAGAGATGGACTGGACTGGAAAGGTTTGCTTCAGAATGATGGAGGTGGTGGGTGTCAACTTGATAATCATGATATTGAGTGTGGGCCTCAATTTTTTATTTATTTTTTTAATCTTGTGGGTCTCAACTTTGGTTGTGTACATAGGATCACCTGGGGTTTCTTTTATTTATTTTTAAAGTAGAGGCCTGGTGCACGAAATTTGTGCATGGGCAGTGTCCCTAGGTTTGGCTCACGATCAGGGCCAATCAGGTTCCCCACCGCCTCCTTCCCTCGCTTCCTCAGCACCCGGCCATGTTCCATGCTGCCCCCTGGTGGTCAGCACACATCATCATAGGGGTGGTAGAACTCCCAAGGGGACACTTTGCATATTAGCCTTTTATATACATAGATACTTGTTACTGAACTTTACCACTCCCAGCTCCCCCAGATTGCCAGCTTAATTAACCTGGTATAGGGCCTAGGTGCAGGGTGGGGTGTGGGGCGGGGGTGGAGGGGTGTTCCTTTAAAGGGATATTGACAATGGGGAAGACTAGTAAGTCCTACATGTTTTTTAAACATGGGTTGGGATTGAGTGATTCTGTCTTGGGTGATAACACAAATGAATATCTGTCTCTCGTTTCCCCATAGGGCCTGCTATGGTGTGCTTCGGTTCATCATGGAGAGTGGCGCCAAAGGCTGTGAGGTTGTGGTGTCTGGGAAACTCCGAGGACAGAGGGCTAAATCCATGAAGTTTGTTGATGGTCTGATGATCCACAGTGGGGACCCTGTTAACTACTATGTTGACACTGCGGTGCGCCATGTGCTGCTCAGGCAAGGTGAGCCGTTGGTACCTCTTAGGACAAAGGGTCTTAGTGGATAGGTGTGGTTTTCCACGCACACCTCAGCGTGTTAGTACTCCTTGGGCTTATTGATTAGCTGCACTGAATTGGAAGAAGTGAAGTGTTGATATCAGATCCAAGAGTTGGTTTGTCCTTGTGTCAGCCACCTGTGTACCCTTCAGTGATGACACGATGACGAGTCAGAAAGGTCACATCCTGCTCTTGGTCCTTGTCGGTGCCATGTTCTGTGGCACTGCATGGGTTCCTTTTGCAAACGTGTCCTATTCATTGGTTGATTAGAGGCATTTGTCTGAGAAGGGACCAGGACCGGGGATGCTGAGTAACTTACTGTTCTCTGCCTCTGCCCTGTCCTGTTGTGTGTGGGGGACGGTAATACCACAGGCAGGTCCTAACCGTGGTCCTAACTATCCTTCAGGTGTGCTGGGCATCAAAGTGAAGATCATGCTTCCTTGGGACCCAAGTGGTAAGATAGGTCCTAAGAAGCCCCTGCCTGACCATGTGAGCATTGTGGAACCCAAAGATGAGATACTGCCCACCACCCCCATCTCGGAACAGAAGGGTGGGAAGCCAGAGCCGCCCGCCATGCCCCAGCCAGTACCCACAGCATAACAGGTATGTCTCTAGCAGCCTCTTGGGCGGAATAGGACCCTGTTCCTCTGTCTCCCTTCTCCTTGTTTTGCACCCTGTGGTAAGCATTTGGTGAATAATAATTGGAGTGCACTTAATTTACATGGAAGAATGCTGGTTAAATCCAGAGGCCTTTTAATTTTAACCCAGGATTCTTTTGGGAGGGTTTGAAGTTGGTCTCTTAAATTCCTGATTACTACAGGAATTTCCCTCTAATGCCCTTATTTACTCAAAAATTTCAAGGCACTCTTGCTAGTCATTAGCTATTATCCTTCAGCAATCCCCTTAAAAAGAACCCCTGGTGTTTTTTTCCCCTAAAAGTTCTGTGTGTTTATTAGTCTTCATGCAAACCCTAAGTGGGAGTGTATACCCATTGGTAAATGAAAGAACCCGATACTCAGCTGAAATTTCTGTTCTTACTGTTGTGCTTTATTTGGTTTTAGGGTCTCCTTGGCAGCTGGATCTGGAGTCTGGATGTTCTATAAAGATCTTTAATAAAATCTTTTTAAAAGATGCATGGCCTGACAGACTGTACATCCAGTATTCAGACTGAGGATCATGTCACCTCATCAAAGCATTACTTGGTTGGTTTTTAGAGCTGCTTGGCTCACGATTCTCCTGTGCTTTCACTGAAGAAATCCTTTTGGTTTTGCCTGTACTGTGAGACAAGGGCCAGAAAAGGAGGACTCAAGCAGAGCTAACCAGAGCTATTATATATCCTGTTGGGGGAAGTGACACAGGTCTGACAGCACCTTGGTTAACTCATCTGTTAGGGTTAGGTTTAGAAGAGGGGTAATATTTAAGACTGTTTTTTTCCTAGTGCATAAAGAAATCTACATTGCATATAGAAAATAAATATATTGGTCATTATATTTGGGGTTATACTAGGCTCTGGGTGCTGTGCTTAACATACTTTTTAATTTAATCCTCAACATCTCTAAAGTGTAACTGGTTTTGGCAGGGCCTGAATTCTTAATCGATACCTCTAGATTTCTTTGGTATCTTAAAAGATGACAACCAATACTTAGGGCAATGTAATAAGGAAACTGAAAGATGATGTAATAGTGATTTATTTCATTGCATCTTTTAGGCAGTACCATCATTTCCTTTTTTTTTTTTTTTTACCATCTTAGTCTTGTTTGACATAGTTGGGAATAATTGATGAGTAATATAATTTCTATTATGAAATACTTTCTCAAGATACAGAAAAACTAAGTTCACCAAGATCTCATAATGTATTTTAGATTTATGCAAGAATCCAACTATTTCATATGATTGTAAGAAAGAATGAATTTATCCTAGTTTTAAAAAAAGTAAATTTCTCCATTGTGCCTTGGAAGCCCACTAAAAAAGAGCAGTCATAAAATACTAATCCTTAAAAATAATTAGAACTGCTTGGGAAGAAAACTAAAAACTGAATTTGGCTCCAGTGGCTTCTGATGGTGTACCAGAGATAAGTCTTTGTTCTGGCACATTGCATGGCCCGGGGGCCAAGCTCAGGGCTCATGCTCTGATCTTGTCTGGCTGCAGGGGGTAGTGGGGATGGGGAAGCAGTAGATTGGGAGCCAGGGAGACATTCCACAGAAGGACCAGTTAGACTGAGACCAAAATATTAGGTGTAACTAGTATTCCTAAGAAATTCGGGTATATGGGGTGCCACCTTTTGCTTGTGTTCCTGTGAGCTTCGCTCACTAGGGACATGAATAATGTCTCCATTCAAGGAGGTCCCTAAGGACAGGAACAAAATTCTGTCAGATGGGATTTTCCTCAGTGGACATACTACTTGATTTTTTATAGAGAATGCAGAATTATATATATATATATATATATATATATATATATATATATATGTATGTATGTATATTTAATATTTATTTTTTTTATTGATTGTTTACAGAGGAAGAGAGATAGAAACATCGATGAGAGAGAATCATGGATCAGCTGCCTCTTGCACACCCCCTACTGTGCCCGCAACCAAGGTACATGCCCTTGACAGTCCGCAGGCCGACAGTCTATTCACGGAGCCAAACCGCTTTCGGCTGTATCTCCTACTTCTAAACAACTGTTTTGCTTCATTTGTATGTGCAACACCCGTATTCTCAGATTAGCAGAGGTTGGATGTGGCTGCATGGAGAGAGCAGGTTTTGAAGATAGCTGGATGCAGGCTGGAATCTTGGCTCTGCCACCACTTTTCAGCTCAGTGACTTTAGTAAGCAAGTCACTTACAACTGAGTCTGTTTCCTCATTTGTAAACATGGGGTAGGCACTAGTACCAACTCATAGGCATGCGAGGTAGAAAATAACAAATCCTTAGATTTACTGTAGTCAATGGGAGAACCTTGTTCTGGGCACCGGGGGACACAGATGGAGCTGACGCCTTTCCTGCCTCAAAGGGCATCCCTTGGGTGTGTCGGGAGGCAGAGACCTGGCCATACGTCAGGCGGCAGAACTGGGACAGATAAGGGACAGGAGTGGTAAACGGGGTGGAGGGTATCAGGTCTGCCCGAGCGGACAGCAGGAAGGAGCAGCACATCATGAAAGGGCATAGGGAACGCGCACGGTCGTTGTGGGGAGAGTGGTGCAGTCTGCTTGACACACTGGAAGTGACCAGCCCAGGTGAGGGAGAGCGTGCCCAGGATTTGCCCCTGTCATTTCCACTTGGGCATTTGACGGGGCAGGCAAATAATACAGTGCTTTCTTTGTCCTGGATGTTGCCCGTGGGGTGGGGGCAGGCGGGCTCTGAGGAACTGGGCCTCCCTTATTCCCCCTTCCCCTCTGCCATTATCAGCCTGTCCAGATGGTCCCAGGCTCCCTAATCACGGATAATCAGAAGGTAGGAGCTCAGCTGTGACCTGGGCCTTTGTGCTGGGCTGTAAAGGGCCAGCCCCAGCTGGAAAGATCTCCCAGACAGGGCCCTGGGGCTTTGGAAGGTGGGAGGGGCGTGGGGCTGGTCCTGTGCTAAAGGACTTGCAGAAGCCGTGATAGATTTTTAAAAGGCAATCTGGGTGCAAATGAGGGGAGCCCAGATGGGGTCTGTCTAGGTCCTCCGTCCTCTGGGCCTTAGAAACAGGCACAGGACCTGCACCACGAGGCCTCGGCCTCACGATTCCCTTTCTGGCATCATTCATTCCCTCATCACCCCTTCCTATCCAGCAGTTCTGTGTTGCTTTTTCTAGAGCCCCAGGCTGACCCAGGGGCTCGGGCACACCAGAGGTTTGTGCCCCTTTTAATGCTTGGGATGTTTGAGGTCCAGGTGCAGCCTGGCTGGGGTCTCAAAGGCCTGTGGCTCTGCCACCCATCACGCAGCTGCAAGCCTCGGACCCCAAGGCCATTTGGGTTTCTGTTTCTGTTCCAGTTTCTTTGATGGGTGGACCATCTCGGCCCTGGCTTCCAGCAGTGAGCCTGGATTGGAATTCTGTTTTTAAGGCCTTTATCCCACAGAGCCTGAGCCCCAGAGCTTCTGCCTTCCTTGGGATTTTACAGTTCTGTTGTTTCTGATCCTTGGACATGTTTGCTTACTTATACACCCATGTCTTTGTCTATTTAGTTGTCTGGGCCCTAATTCTGTCTCTCTCTGCGAGGTGTTTGAATTTGAAGGGGTTGTTTAGAAAGGGGGGGGGGGGGCCTATCCTGACCAGAAAGTCTCATTGGTTCTGAAGCTTCATGAAATACAGATATTAACAATTAGTTCACTAAAAGTTAAGTGTGTTGATAATCTCAAGTAGAAGGACAGTGATTACCTCAGAGGGCCATGGGAAGGGAATGGGTTTGGGAATAGACACCAGAGCCTACAAAGGCATTTTTAACATTCTATCTCTTTCTTTGTTTTTATATAGACTAAAAAAAAAAAAAATTGAATCTGCCACCTTTGGTGTATGGGACAACATTGCAACCAACTGAGCCACGTGAGCCGGGGCGTAACAGCTATTTCTTAAGCTGGGTGGTAGGAAGGAAGAAGTAGTATTATTAAACAGCACAAAAAGATATATTCTTTTATGCATGGAATATTTTATATTTTAAATTATGTCCACACTGCTATTATGAAAGTAAATGAAGTAATATATGTAGGTGCTTTGTAAAGAGTTAAAACAAGGAGCAGATACTTCTCCAGGCAAAGCAGGCATGAGCTGGAACACAGACCCAGCCTTTGGATGACATTTTATTTCTACAAGAAGGGGGGCAATAAATTAAGGGTCTATTTACATGGAGGTTCCATGAGGAAAGCAGCGCGGTGAGCCTGAGTTCTCCCTTCTCTCTCTGCCTCGTGGCTCAGGTTGTCCAGGTCGGAGTCACCTGCCCAGGCTCTGGACAATGGTGACGCAGCCGTGGGAGCTGGTGCAGCGCTGCAGGGGCGGCCGGGCCTCCACCTGCCCACTGCTGGGGTCAAAGGTGAAGACCCTGTCGGTGCTTTCCCCGTGGTCATCCCGCCCACCAGTGATGTGGACCTTCCCATCGCACACAGCCACGCCACAGCTCTCCTGGGTGTGCAAACAGAAAGACAGTCAGCTCTGGGATCTGGTCTGGGGCACACTTTGTCCCTAGCTGGCCAGACCGGACAGCAAAACCTTGACCCACAGAATGAGCAAGCATTGTGGATGTTAGACCAGAAACTGGATGGAAGGCAGAAAGCTCTGGCTTGACCCTTACTGAAGGAATACTGGACAAGTCACTTAACCTCTCTGGGCCTCAGTTTCCTTCTCTGCAAAGTCAGAAGAACAATCTTCACTGGTTTCCCTTAACAGTTAATGGGGTTAAGCATGTAAAGTATTTTACATAGTGCTTGAGGCACAGTAAGCACTCCAGTGACAATAACACCATCACCATCTTTGGATCTCACACTTAGAGAAGCCAGAAGTCTCTGGCTCTTAGGATCACAAAGGTCATACTGGCAGGGACTACCAGAGTAACCACACCCCTATGTAGTCTCTGGAGTTTCAGGAGGTGACGAAAGGTGGCAGAGGCGAGGTATACAGGGGCCAGAGCATCCATCCAGGGCCTGGGCCTCCCTTCGCTGATATCCCTGGGGCAGGGGAACTTAGCAAGTTCCTTCTCCAGGCTCTCCCCTCCCATCTCTTCAGTAGCCTACCAGCTAGTGGCCTTTAGTACAGGAGAGAGTGCAAGGTCATTTAGGCCAACTTTCCCATCCAAGGCACTTGGGACTGGGGCTCCAGGCTCATTTTCGAAATGCAAGGCTGATTCTCATTGTGAGGGCAAAGCCCGAGAACCATCTAGCATGGAATCAGACACAAGACTCACTGTCTCTAAGATCCAGGCCCTTAGACATGGGTCTTCCCTCTCAATGGAACCAGAGTCAGGGCCATGCCTAGGACTCTCCACTTACCACGGGGCTGGGGAGGGCAGCTGCCTCCCCCCAGACATCTGTACCAGGGTGGTAGGCGAAGATTTTGCTCATGAGGCCCCCCACCACATAGATGGTGTCCTCGAGGGAGACAGCCTCGAGACATCGCTGTGAGAAGGGTGCTGGTGACCGCAGGCTCCACCTGTCCTCCTTGGGGTCAAAGCACTGCACCTGAAAGGCAGGAGGAGGTTCAGCAGTGGTGAAGCTTCACCCCCAACTGCCGGGCTGCCCGTGCACTCCCACTTCTCTCCGCCAGGGGGACTCCTTCAGCACAGTATCTTCCTCCGCTAGTTATCCCTGCCCTCAAGTCTAGTCCCACCTTCTTTCTCCTACCCCTGGACTCCCTCCCTGTATTGAAAACGTCATCTTTCAAGGCCCAAGGAGAGGTCTCCATTCCAGGACACGGAGGTGCCATCTGCATTAGCGCTATAGGAGTCCTCAGAGCAGGTCCCCCATGGAGATGTGTTCATGGCTGCATACATTGTCAGTCCTGGTGCTATGAGGTCATGACAGAATTCCCGCTGGGGTGTCCTGTAGCTCATTACCACAGCTGTGCACGTGCCTCCCAGTCCTGCAGGTGCTCTGAGACACCTCTCACAGTTTCCGAGGCTCGTACTTGTACCTGCCTGCTCACCTTTACTTGTTTCAGTTGTTTCTTTGGAGACCCCCAGAATGGCCTAAAACAGTGCTGCATGAGAGGGTACCGAGTACTAAATGGGCAGTTCAGCCAGTCCCAGGAAGGTGTGCTGGGGAAATGGGGTCAGGGGATGAGGAAAGACAAGTGACCCTAGTTTGGGGAATTTCAAATCCCAGACCACAAGCCTGTGAGGCCATCTGGGGAAGGAGAGAGCTGCCATTATGAAGATCAATTTTTATTCACAAAAAACTAAATCAGTTTAGTAGACTAGCTCACCCACCAGTGGCCTATTATTGCAGTTACTGAAGTGATGGCTTAGATGAGTTGCTAAGCATGTGGACAGTGCATTCTGCTTTTTATTATTACCTGAAGAATAAAAAGCAGAGTGTGAAATTTTACTAACAGTAAGAACGCACCAGCCAGTGTGGCTTAGTGGTTGAGCATTGATTCATAAACCAAGAGGTCACCAGTTTAGTTCCTAGTTGTGGTACATGCCAGGGTTGCAGGCTCGATTCCCAGTCAGGAGCATGTAAGAGATAGCCAATTGATAATTCTCTCATCAATGTTTCTATCTATCCCTCTCCCTCCCTGTCTAAAGTCAGTGATTAAAAAACAACAAAACAACAACAAAAACACCAACAGTAAGAAGGCAAAACTAAGACAAAATCAAAAGTCAATTTAGAGGAAGCCTGGAGGCCATGCACCTTAATGTTAATAGTAATTACTATCCATAGGTGGGGGAATTATGGGTGATTTTTTTTTCCTGTTTCCGGTTTTCTAAATTTTCAATAATGAGTGTATTATATTTTTGAGAATGGCACAAAAACTTTTTTAAAAAATATGTTTTTATTGGTTTCAGAGAGAGGGAGAGGGAGATAGAAACATCAATGATGAGAGAGAACCATCAATTTGCTGCCTCCTGCATGCTCCCCCCCTTGGGATCCAGCCCACAATCCAGACATGTGCCCTGATTGGGAATCGAACTGTGACCTCCTGGCTCTTATGTTGATGCTCAGCCATAAAGCCACATCAGATAAGCTGGCAGAAAAACATTTTAATTAATCCCACTCTCACCCTCACTTAATTTTTTAAAATCTTCACCCGAGGATATGTTTGTTTATTTTAGCAAGATAGGGAGATAGAAATTTGATCTTGTTCCTTCTGTATGTGCCCAGACCAGGAACCGAACCTGCTACCTTTTTGGTGTGTGGAAGGACCCTCCAACTAACTGAGACACCTCACTGAGCACCCTCACTTAATTTTTTAATCTATAAAATCATATGGCACTGCCGAAACCGGTTTGACTCGGTGGATAGAGTGTCAGCCTGTGGACTGAAGGGTCCCACATTCAATTCTGGTCAAGGACAAGTATCTTGGTTGCAGGCACATCCCCACTAGGGGGTGTGCAGATGGCAGCTGATCGATGTTCCTCTCTCATCGATGTTTCTAGCTCTTCCTCTCCCTTCCTTTCTGTAAAAAATCAATAAAATATATTTAAAAAACAACAACAACATATGGCACCAAGCAGCCCAAACATTCAGGCCTAGCTGTGCTGCTGACCCAGTGTGTGAACTCTAACAAAACTTACTCCTCAGGGCAGTTGATGGGATTAAGTGAGAAAATGGATGAGGGCCAGAAAGTGCCACCTCAACACCAATACATAGCAGGCCTCCAGTATCCTATCCGCGCCCACCTTGTCTGTGCTGATGTTGTCTTGCCTGGCACCCCCAATCACGTAGAGCCGGCCAGCACAGGGCACCACGGCTGCTGAGCTCACGGCCTCCGGGAGCGGCTCTGCAGACTCCCATGTGTTGGAGAAGGGGTCGTAGCGCTCCACACTGCGCAGGCGCTGCAGTCCATCAAAGCCACCCACCGCGAACAGCTGTGTGTGAGGACAAGGCGGTCAGGGCTGGCTCTGGCTATGTGCCAGAAGCCATCCCACCCGAGCAAAAGGGCCAGGACGAATCCCCGGTGACGGAACCGCGCGTAGCAGGTTTCCTCTCACTGGCTGGGGATAATGAGATCCATCTCTGGAGTGGGTGTTAAGTGTAGAATTGATCTGTAAAATACTTGACCCCAAGCTAATGCTTAAATAATAGCTGGTAAGCAAGGGTTTACTGCCTTCAGTGATTCTAAGAAGCACATTTATTTGCATTTCTGAGTTGGAGATGTAGCTTACAAAGGTAGCTGGCAGTGTGTGTGTGTGTGTGTGTGTGTGTGTGTGTTGGTCTTAAGTGGTAGAGTCAAGATTAAAAACTAGGCTATTGGCCCCAGAGCCCACATCCTTGATCCTAGGCTATATTATTACAGTAATTACTGTTAGCATTTTGATGTAACTTTCGGCAAATCCCTTTATTATTTGAGACTTCAGAGCCCTTACACAGAGAGAGGGTCTCAGAGAGGGCCTTCTTTAAGGACATCTATAGATCTCCTAGAGGCCTGGTGCATGAAAATTCATGCAATGGAGGGGGAGTGTCCCTCAGCCTGGCCAGCCCCTCTCACAGTCTGGGAGCCCTCAGGGGTGGGAGGTGACCTGGTGATCAGGGGAAGACGACGCCCCCATCACACCTCTGCTGCTGCTGCTGGCAACACAAGCCTTGGGCGGCCCTGGGGGGTTGGAGGACAGGGGTTTGGGGGACTCCACAGGCAGATGTGTGGAGCGGCTAGACCCACCTGGGGGTGGGCCTGGCCGTGCTGACCACCTGCCACCCCGGCAGGGCTGAGGGCACTGGGCACCACCATCTTGTGGCTATGGGCGCTGCCATCTTTGAGGGCGTGGTGGTCAATTAGCATATTCCCTCATTGGTTGTGGGTGCCTCCGTCTTTGTGAGGGTGTGACGGTCAATTAGCATATCCCCTCTTTATTAGATAGGATACCCTGGGCCCCAGGAACAGCAGCTGCTGCATGTCCCTACCTGTCCAAGCAAGGCCACCATCTTGTGCCTCCACCTGCCCTCGTGCAATGAGGCCACCTTGATCCAGGTGTGCAGATGGGAGCTAAACATCCACACATCATGGCTGTTGATGTGGCCTCCTGGGGAGAGAGAAGCAACTATTGCCCCCAGATCCACAGGAAGAGTTAAGGGTAGATGTCAAGGACAACTTTGTCTTGAGCTGGTGGGATCCCGTGTGCTTTGAGTGGTGGCAAAGTCCGAGTTAGGACAACAGGCATAGACTTTTGAGGGGGGAGGCCTGAGAGATTCAGGGAGAAGGAACATTGTGGTGTGTGCCAGGCTCTGTGCTCAGGGAAGCAAAGGGGTCACTGTAGAGCTCTCCTGAAGGAAAGAGCACAAAAGGTACCCAAGGCAAGAACCAGGAAAACACTGGGGCAGAGAGAGCAGAGCCACCTACACTGGGAAGGGGAGGGGTAGAGGGTGACTCAGGGTTTCTGTCTCACTTCTGCCTTCACCTGCCTGACTTCATGTCTGCTTCATCCCTCCATGGCGTTGGGATCACGGTACCCAGTTTACAGACAGGAAATCAGATTATGCGTAAGAGGCCAGGAATGACTTGCTGAAAATCACAGGCCTGTCACTGCCAGAGCACTGATCCAATGCAGAGCTTCCAGCTCCCACGCCTAACATTTGGTATTAGTGAACGACAGCACCCTCCATGGGGCCAGGCCCTGAGGGTGCAGGCTGTGGACCTTTCCTCCCTGGCTGGCATGGGGTTCCTGACCAGGGACTCACCTCTTAGGAGCAGCTTCCCCAGGGACAATTCTGACGGCACCCCCTCAGCCTGAGCTGCACCTCTGTTTTGTAGGCCTCGCCTCTGTGTTTCCAGTGGCCTCAGGTAAGCTGTCCAGGGATAACGTGTGGCCTAGCTGGTGTCTGAGGCCTTCGCCTCATTCTTCTGCTCCTTATCCTTCCCAGCCACCCAGAGCTCCTGCAACATCAAGCGCAGTCTACCTAGGCCTGGTTCCAAAGTCTCCCTGATCTGACTCCAGGCTCCCATTCCTCCCTCTCCTACATTGGCTTCCTCTCCTCTCCCAGAGACACTCGGCCTGCACGTCAGAGCCCTCAGCACTGGGGGTTCCTCTCTGCACGCTCCTGCCTTCATGACTTTGCCTGTGCTGTTCCCTCCAAGTCGGGCCAGGTTCCCTGAGTAGGATTCCAACTCATTTGGGGTCTCTTAAGAGTTCCCATCAAATTCAGCCTGGTCATGCCCAAACCGGTTTGGCTCAGTGGATAGAGCGTCGGCCTGCAGACTGAAAGGTCCCAGGTTCCATTCCGGTCAAGGGCATGTACCTTGGTTGTGGGCACATCCCCAGTAGGGTGTGTGCAGGAGGCAGCTGATCGATGTTTCTCTCTCATCAATATTTTAACTCTCTATCCCCTCTCCCTCCCTCTCTGTAAAAAAATCAATAAAATATATATTTTTAAAAATTCAGCCTGGTCATAAAGGGAAGTCCATTTTCCCTCTCCAGGGCACATCAGGGTAGCAGGACTGTGTTTTATTCTTTGAGACTCTAAGGCCTGAATCTCAGGAAAGGCAATCTGTTGGTATCAAAGCTCCTAGCTTTGTCAATGTTGTGACAACAAGGAAATTCTTAACCTTTCTCAGCCTGTTTTCTCATCTGTGAAGTGGGACTGTAGAGAGAATGAATGTAAGCCTCTTAACATGAGCACATAGTTACTAATAAAAGAAGTGATTAATAGGAGTTGAAGCTAACTTGACTGAATAAAGGGTGGAGTCACACCTGGGATTGGCTGTGCAGGACCACATGTCATTTCAGCCAATAACTAGGTTATTGGGAAAAATCCCACCCCAATCCCCTGGTTGGTGGGAAAAACCGAGGGGGCAGTGCTCAGGAGCCAGGAGCCAATCCTGTGGGGCTCCCGGTGCGGCCCTGCTCTCACCTGAGACATAGATGTCATTGCGGAGAGTGCAGGCGGCGAACTCGGAGCGCATGTAGCCAGGCAGGCTGGGCAGCGGGGTCCAGCGCTGGCTCTCCGGGTGGTAGGCGTCGGTGAAGGGCAACCTCGTAAGTCCCTTGCGGCCACAACCACCAATGACCACAATCATTTCAGCTAGGTCCATGAATCTGGCATGGGGATAAGCTCAATCTTCACTGATCCGAGCCCAAGTTTCAGCCCCCTCACCCTCTCACTGACCACACTGCAGAGTCCTCCTGCCCATCTTTGTCCTTCTGTCCCTCTCCTAATCCCTCTCCCAATCCTCTGTCATGTTCAACCTTCCCTCTGACTATGGATGGGACAAGGGTCACTAATCCTTATTCTACTGACTCTCAGTTACAGAAAAGGAATCTTTACAAAGCCTTTAACCTTACTCAGAAAAATCTCCTGGTTTAGTCTTTATGATACAATAGTTCTACCCTGTTTCCCCGAAAATAAGACAGTGTCTTATATTAATTTTTTCTCCCAAAGTTGCGCTAGGTCTTATTTTCAGGGGATGTCTTATCTTTCCATGCACTAGGTCTTACTTTCGGAGGATGTCTTATTTTCAGGGAAACACGGTAGTAGGCAGGGATTATTACTCCTTTTACAGAGGTGGAAACTGGCTAAAACAATTAGGCTTGCCCAAAGTCATGCAAGCCAGTAAGCAAAAGAGCTGGGATTCAAGCTCAGTCTGTCTGATGCTAACCCATCTGCTTACCCTTTTTGGCCTCGGTTCCCTAATTCTGCTGCCTCCCTCCTATCACAGCTCCTAAACCCACACCTTAATTCCACTGAGCCAGGCTACATACCCTTTCAGCAAAGCGTTTTCCCCTCCCACTGACCCCTCAGACTCTGGACCCCCCAGAAACCCCAAACTCTTTAGCCATTGGTTTCCTACCCAATTTCTATGACCAATATGGAGCATCTCTGGACCAGGCCCTGTGCTTAGTGTTGGAAATGCCTGGTACGGTGGTAAGAGAGGGGACTTCCCTGTCTTCTATTTTGGACTACTCCACCCTTCTCCTGGCCTGGTGTTCCAGGCCCTGCCTATTTATATCCCTTACTAGTCTGAGCTCCCAGAGGGTTTAGGGTGTTTTCACTCTTGAGTCCCAGGGACCCAGCACAAAACTTGCACAAAGGGAGCACTCCACATTATAGAGAGATGGGCAAGAGAAAACGTACATTGGGTGTGAGACCCCTGCATCTCCCCATTGGCTGTCAACTCTTCAAGAGCAGAATCCCCTACACAGCCCCATGGAACATTTGTTGAATGAATGAGTGAATTTCATGTAAGAGGCATGATCGAGGATGAATTACAGAATGATGGAGGAATGAGCCAGTGATTGAATGTGGTGGTGGAGGGGCGGAGAGGAGTGGTACCTCCGCGGCCGCGTGCGCAGCCCGCCGGCCTCTCGGCCCAGGATGAAGCAGGCGCGGGCCTCGAGCAGCAGCGGGCGGCACTCGCGGGAGGCGCGCAGCAGCTCGTCCGCCTCCACCTTCTGCAGGAAGTAGGCGGGCGGCAGCAGCGGCAGGCGCACGTGCTCCAGCAGGCGCCGCAGGTGCGCGCGGCGGGCCGGCGCGTCGTGGCGCACCCAGCGCAGCGCCGCCTCGAACACGGCCTCCTCGCGCGCCACGCCCAGCGCCGGGTCCGCCAGCAGCGCTGCCACCTCCCCGGGCGCCAGCTCCAGGAAGCCGGCGTGGCGGGCCGCTTCGGCGAAGTCCAGGGCCAGGGAGGGGGGCGAGGAGGCGGCCACGGGGCGCAGCGCGGGGCTGCGGGCGCGGAGGCGGCCCCGGAGGAAGCGCGCGCAGGCCTCGCGCAGGTCCTCTGCGCCCAGCCGCTCGGCCAGCTCCTTCTCCTCTTCCTCCTCCTCCTCCTCCTCCTCCTCCTCCTCCTCCTCCTCCTCCTCCTCCTCCTCCTCCTCCTCCTCCTCCTCCTCGGCGCGCAGCTGCACGCCAGAACTGATCAAAGGGTCCGTCCTGGTGCGCCCTGCGCCCGACATCTCGGGCACCACGGCCTGACCCCGCTCTGGCCGCCCGGCCGCTGCCAGGCCGCTGAGGCGGGCACTGCCCGCGCCGAACGCAGCTCGCTGGCAGGGGAAGCCGTGGCCGCCAGCACGCGGCACCGTGTCGGTGATGGTGCGGCTCCGAAGGGAGGCCTGGAGGGTCTGCAGGACGCGCTGCGCCTGGCAAGACCCTGGGCAGGGCGCCTCAGCAGCCCCAGGCTCCGACTCCTCCAGTAAGCCGCCCGCTAGCATCCTGCTGGGAAGGGAACAACACAGATAGCGTCGGAACATCCACCTGGCTGGGGAGAAATAGGTGGCAGGAGGCCCCTCATCGCAGGTAGGCATGAAAGTAAGTAGTGTGCGTTCATTCTTTCATTCATTCAACTGCTCTCCCTTCCACTCTCCCATCCAGACTCCTAATGGCTGGCTGCAAGGATCTGGTAGTCTCTGCCTACTTGAGGGGCTCCCTCCTGCCTTAGCTGTGGCACCTTCACCTTCTCTTGCTCATTGAAGCCCAGTGGCCCTTCCTGCGCTCCAGATTCACCAAGCTGTTTTCTGTTAGTATTGATAGAACACAGCTGGCACGCTTTCATACGGGGTATCTTGCAGAAGGGTCTGATAAAGGAATGATTTCAAACGTGCAGAACGTCTTCAGAGACTCTACCACAAAGGATGCAGCAGGGCCACGTCGCTCCCACTCCAGAGAGTTTTCCCCTCCCCCAAGGTTTGGAGGGCTGGGAACCTGTACAGAGTATCTGTATCAGGAAGGGCCCCTTACAGGAACCGTAGCCTTTGGTCAAGGAATTCAGGCTACCCTCCAGAGACGCAGTGTGTGTGGAGGGGTATACCTCTACCGCCCTCTCCTCACCCCATCTTGTCTCCTGCCCATCTCCTGTAGGTGCCCCTTCCCCAGCACCATAGGATCGGGCCCAGAGCGGGTGCTCAGTACCTGTTCAAGGTCGAGTGAATGTATTAAGTATGTGTGGAGAAGCTTTTCTCTGCCAGGCAGTGAGCAAGGCAGTCATGGCTCCTGCACTCGAGCTCATAGCTTGGTGGTGGTGGTGGTGGTGGTGATGGTGGTGGTGGTGGTGGTGATGGAGGTGGTGGTGGTGGTGGGGTGGGGTTCCCATGGGAAGTACAGAACATTAGGAGAGCTCTGCGAAGGAGCACTGAACACAGTGGAGGGGAGAGTCAGGGAAGGTAACCCTGAGGAGACTTAGATTCTGCCAGGTGAAAAGAGGGGAGTGGAGGGAGAATGTCTCCAGCTGAGCAAACAGCTGTGCAAAGTCCCCAGGGGAGGAGATAGAAGGGAAAGCCCCGCCCGAGGGAAGCTCTCTGCGGCTGCCGAGGAAGCGCTGTGGAGAAGTAGGAACGGGTTGGCTCTAAGGACTGATCTGGGTTCTAATCCTGCCTCTGACACTGCCTCTGCATTCCCTTCGGTCTCCTCATGTGAAATGAGGTCATGAATGCCCGCCTCACAGGGTGGTTGTGACTTTATGACTCTTAACTAGAACGTATGGAACGTGCTAGGTGCATAGTACAGACCCAATGGTGTTTGCATTGCTTTTGCTTTTTATTTTTTAATTAATTAATTAATTAATTAATTAATTTTTAACCTAAGAGGAAGGGAGCACACTTGGTTGTGCCTTTTGGTCTATAATTTCATTTGATCCTCCCAACCCTGGAAAGTTTGTCTGGAGCCCCACTCTCTGGACAGTTGTCATGTGGAGGCAAGTACACGGGAACATGCCTTTCAGAGGCTGCCGTGAGGATCAGAGGAGGGTGATTGTGAAGGCATCCGCAGACTGAAGGGCTGAATTGTGCCCGTCATGATCTGGCCATTGGGAACGTACTGCCTCTGCACACCTCCAGGGACAGGGAGCTCCCTCCTTTATGCAGTAACTTACCCTAGAGGAGCACAGCTCTGGGCATGCCCTTGCCTCCCCCTTAATTTTTCTGATCCCGATCCCAAGTGCTCTCCCTCCTCTGAGACCACTCTGCCCTGGCGATCAGATTTGCCCAGTGCCAGCCTGGCTTTCACGGCTCCTGCCCAGGTCACACGAGGCGGTGGGTCGCCTGCCTCAGAATCATGGTAAAGGAGCTCCCTGGTGGGCAGGGTTCTGGGAAGCTAACTTTGCCCACGTAGAGGGCCCGGGCCCTGCACCTGGCCCCAGACTCTGTGCCCAGCAGCTCAGCCACAGGTGCTAGAGTGAGGGCGTGTCCCAAGGAGCAGCCCAGGAGCAGCTGAGGGCGGCGAGAGGCTGAGAGCATGCTGCCCCCATTCTGTTCTCTCTGAAATGAGAAAGCAGCCACACTTGGAGCTGAGATGCAAGTGAGCAGGTCTCAGCCTGAGGAGGCGCTTATCCCTGCAGAGATGTCCTAGGGCAGTGGTCTGCAAACCTCGGCTCGGCTTGCGAACCGTGCTTTGCTGCTCTGTTGACTAATGAATTTGCCGACCACTGTCCTATACTCCCCTTTACCTCTTTGCACAAAATATGCCACAATTGCCTAGTCCTCACGGCTTCCAATACACAGTAACATTTAGTCGCCGTGGTTTGCTGACCGCTGTCCTAGCAATAGGGGTTTGGGGGAAGGTTTCCCTCTCCTGGGTAGTGCGCCAGTACTTGCTCATTCTACAGCTCATCTGCTCTGGGCACTGTGGGCACATGGCACCTCAGACACAGTTTCCACCCTGGGGATTCCCACTCTGGGGGCTGAAGGGCACCCAGTGGGAACATTCTTCTATCCTTCCAAGAGTCTAGGTATCTCAGGCTCTAGGTCCTGATGCAGCCTGAGGCACCCAGCCCTTAAGAGTTGGTACGCCACCCTGTCTCTTTTTCACACCCACACCCACTCATAAAACATGCTTAGACTTGTGGACTCCACACAGTCAGGACAGCCCTGGTCCTAAGCACTTACCTGGCCATGTCCTCTCCCGGGGGCCCCGAAGCTGCTGCTCTTGCACCGGCCACTCCCGTGTGTCCTGCCGCCTGAAACCCCTGCCGCCCGAACCCCCCGCCGCCCGGGCTCCAATGTCTCTGCTGCTCTGTCTGGACTGCCACTCGGGCTCAGCTGCAGGAGGACAAAGGGGCTGGGCGCCAGGGGGAGGGGGAAGGAGGGTGGAGGGAAAGAGGGGACGCTGGGCTTTTGTTCCACTCACTCTTGGACGAGCCCTGGAGGAGAGGGAAAGGGGGAGGAGGGAGGGCTGGGCATGGGATTGACTGTGTGCCCGGTTTGGAGTGACTTGGCACGGACTCTGCGCCGGAATGATGCACGGGTGTGAGGGCGGGGCCTCTCCCGGGAGATGGTTACAGCCCGGTGACAGTGAGCTCCCAGGGGCTCCCAGGCACTTGTATGAGACTGGGGCTCAGCGGCTGCGTGGCACTGGGGAGAGCGTCACCTGGTAGCTGCAGGCGTGGCTAAGCATGTGACTGCATGGCGTGAAGGTCTAGCTTTCCTTCCTGCCGGTGTGACTGTGCCACGTCTGTATTCCTGCTGAGAGCAGACGTCACTGTGGGACCGTGCATCTGGTTATATGCCTGGTGTGTGTCCCTGTGATTGTTCATTTGTGTGTGTGGCGGGTGTATCTCTGTGGGCAGTGGATGCATGACAGGGGTCTCTGTCTGTGGACCGTGTCATGCGTGTGAACATCCTATGGTCCTCTGTGATGCGGTATGAGTTGAGGTTTTCGCTCAAGAATGTACCTCCCTGGGAGGGGACAGCAGGACTGGCGTGGGGGTTTTGGACAGACCTGGTGGGGGTGGAGAGGAGGAGGCAGCTGTGGGCTGGGTCGGCCTCCGGGAGCCAGAGGGAAGCGACTGCGTAGACTGGTGCCAAGTCACTTGCTGCCTCTACAAAGGGCCCCAGGGCCTGGTGTCCGTGGGGTGGACGGACAGAGTTCGCTTCACGGAAAAGGACAGCAGTTTGGAAGGAGGTTGCTTTGACTAGAGCACCTGTGGGCCTGGGGCACCTATGTCTGTCCTGGCGGATGCCTTGACATGTCCCCAAGCCCCAGCCCAGCCCCGCCTTCGGCCCTGGTCTTTCATCGTGGCAGGAGGGGTCCTCCGGATTCCAGCTCTGTGCACAGGAAGCCTGTGCCCTGAGGAGTCCCTCAGGCCAGGCTGAGGCGGCCGGTCTGATGGGGGGGCCTGTGGCTGTGGCCCGGTGTGTGTCCCGCAGGCCCTGCTCCAGGGAATGGTGTAGCCCCAAAGGGAGGGTGGCGTGGGTTACTCTTCGTTGAAGGATGTGAGAGATCCAAGCACTTGTTAAGAACGTTATTTATTCTTTATTCCCATCCTCCTCCACCCCCTCCCCATTGGCAACCATCAGCTTGTTCTCTATATCTGTGGGTCTACTTTTGTTTTGCTTATTTATTTATTTATTTATTTTTTAAGATTCTACCTGTAAGGGAAATTATACAGTTTTTGTATTTCTCTCTCTGACTTATTTCACTTAACATCATCCATCCATGTTGTCGCAAATGGCAAACTTTATTATTTTTTTATTGCTGCAAAATATTCCATTGCATATATGTACCACATTTTCTTTATCCATCAATTGATGGACACTTAGGTTGCTTCCATATCTTGGCTTTTACTACTAATGCTGCAGTGAACATAGGGGTGAATATATATCTTTTTGAGTTAGCATTCTTTTTGTTTTCTTCCAATAAATACCTAGAAATGGATTTGCTGGGTTGTATGGAAGTTCTATTTTTAATTTTTTGAGGCCACTCCACACTGTTTCCCATAGTGGCTGCACTAATTTAAAATCTCACCAGCAGTGAATAAGGGTTTCCTTTTCTCCACATCCTTGCTAACTCTTAATGTTTGTTATTTATTGGTGATAGCCATTCTGACAGGTGCGAAGTGATATCTCATTTTAAATGTGCATTTCCCTGATGATCAGTGACCTTGAGCATCTTTCCATATGACGGTTGGTCATCTGTATGTCCTCTTTGAAGAAATATCTATTCAGGTTCTCTGCCCATTTTTAAATCAGTTTGATTTTTTTTTGTGTGTGTGTGTATGTGTGTTTTTGTGTTGTATGAATTTCTTATATATTTTGGATATTAACTACTTATCAAAAGTGTCATTTGGGAAGATCTACCATTAAGTGGGGGTGTCTTTTTGTTTTGTTGTGCAAAAACTTTTAAGTTTGATGTAGCCCCATTACTTTTTTCTTTTGTTGCCCTTACCCAAGGAGACATATCCAAAAAGATATTGCTAAGGGTAATGCCAAAGAGTTTACTGCCCATTATGTTTTCTTCTAGGAGTTTTGTGGTTTTAGGTCTTACATGTAGACTTTAATCCATTTTGAGTTAATTTTTGTATATGGTGTAACAAGGCGGTCTAATTTCTTTTTGCATGTGTCTGTCCAGTTAACCCCACACCATTTGTTTTTATCCTATTGTATATTCTTGCCTCCTTGTCATAGATTACTGATCATGTAGGTGTGCTTTTATTTCTGGACTCTCTATTCCATTTCATTGATCTTTGTGTCTGTTTATATTCCAGTATCATGCTGTTTTGATTAGTATAGTCTTGTAATATAATTTGATATCAAGTAGCATGATACCTCCAACTTTGTTCTTCTTTCTCAAGATTTCTTCAGCTCTCCAGGGTCTTTTGTGGTTCCTTACAAATTTTAGGGTTATTTGTTTAGTTCTGTGTAAAATGCCATTAGTATTTTGATAGTGGTTGCATTGAATCTATAGATTACTTTACATAGTATGGACATTTTAACAATGCCAATCTTCCTATCCATGACATGAGCAAGGTGTATCCTTTCATTTATTTGTGTATTCTTCAATTTCTTTCTTCAGTGTCTTATAGTTCTCAGAAATAATTCCTTTATCTTTTTTATTTTATTTTATTACATTTATTCCTAGGTATTTTTTTATTCAATTGAAAGTAGCATTTTTTTTCTTTTTAATAGTTCATTATTGGTGTATAAAAGTACAACCCATTTCTGAATCTTAATTTTGTATCCTGCTACTTTACTGAATTCATTTATTAGTTTAATAGGTGTCTTTTGTAGAATCTTTAGAGTTCTTTTTAT